CTTGAATGAAGCCTACATTAGGTCTAGAACTCTCAGGGAGAATCTGATTGTGGGATACTTCTTTGATCTCAGATCTTTAGCATGACATCTAAAAAGGGAAAGAATCTTTTTTTGAAAGGAAAATTTTAGCTTGGCATGTGTACAGTACCAGATGCAAGTGTTATAGGTGAAGAAAAGGCTGGAGAGCAGATTTTGGAAACTGATCACCAAACCGAAGGCCTGGAGCATTTGAATTGTCCAGTGGACATTTGCAGGGAGCTGGAAGAGAGGAGTCCTTTATGAGAAGGTCATCAAAATAACTTGTGACTTGGACGCCTGAGTTCTGAGAAGGATAAGTGAAGGTGCAACAAACTGGAAATGGCTGTCTATCACTACAAAGCACTGATGTGGTGGATATACGGAAACATGCAGACAGGCATCTGGGATGTCTACAGATGGCAGGTATACCCCATCAAAGGAGGACATTACATTCCAAACATTTGCATGTAATCTGCAAGGTTGGTAAAGGTCTTTGTTAAGAGATAATTAAGTCCAGAATAGGACAAATGCCTTTGGCTGGGCTTTGGTACTGTGAACAGGTTTGAATAGATTCCTTTGAACCCCTCTTGGTGAGGTACTGGCACAACTACTACCTGGAGAAGGGATGGTTCAGGAAATTTTGTAAATCTGACTGTCCTTGGGCAGTTTTTTGTTGATTTGACAGAAGTGGTTGTGAAAGGGCAGGGGTGGGGCTTGATTTTGAACACTACTTTGCAACCCTTTAAAACCAGTAATTAATCCCACAGGTCGGGGATGTCTGTTACCCAAAGAGAGGCAAACAGATATCCCCCACTCTTAAGAGTGAGGATGCACTTTCACTGGGAAGAGGGCTTTGGGGAAGACTTCGGGGACTGTGGGCCAATTTTTGTCCTGATAGGAAGGACTGAAACTTAGGTTTTGATGCTGAAGCCTGGGTAGAGCAGTTACAGTAGGTGCTCTTCAGTTTAGGGGTAACAGGAGACTCCTGAGGAGGGTTTTGAAGTCTTCTGTGGAACTAAAACCTTCCCTCCTTTGATGATTTGGTCAAGTGCCTCCCAAAAAAAGATATCTGGTCTTCAAAAGGCATATATGTGAGGCACTTTTCGCAGGCAGCTCCAGGTGTCCAGGTTTTAAAGACACACGTTTCTGCGCTTAAGAATGGAGATTAGAGGCATTCTGGAAATTTGTCCCATGACATGTCTCCAAACTGCTGCCTGGGGGCCTGATGCGGCCCTTTGCTTGCCTCTCTCTGGCCTTGGGGCACGATTACTCCCACTGACACCAGCAATGGGGCACTGTCCCTCTCAATAACAACGGGACACTAGTCCTGTGACACTGAGGGACACTATTTCCTCCCACTGACATCAACAATGGGGCAATATTCTTCCCCCTGACACCAGGACATTTTCTTCTCCCAAAGGCCACAGTCTGCCCCCCTAAAGTCTGCAGAACAGTAAACTGGCCCTTTGTGCAATTACAGAACTTACCTTCCGCTCTGTTTTTTTTGTTAAAGCCCTAGAACAGGGGTCTCCAACCTTTCTGCACAATCAAAGCACAGTCCTGGAATACAGGATCCTTTTGGTTGTTCATTGCCATAGACCAGTTAACTGCCGTTTGACATACTGAAAGTGCAGCAAGTTTGTTGCATGGCTGGGCCTGCCAGAGAAAAGAGAGCCTTCAGAAGCATCTCTACTGTCGATCTGCAGAATCCTTGGATTAAGGATCATCTTCAATTGGTAGACCGAGACCTTTAAGAGTGAGCCTGCAGGATGAACTACAGGAAAAGATCACTAGTGAACTCTTTTTCCTATGGATAGACTTCAGCAAAGATTTTGGAGGAGTGAAAATCTCTTCTGGAGAGATTCTCTACTTTCGATCTGCAGAATCCTTGAATGAAGGAACATCTTCAATTGGTAGACTGAGACGTTTGAGACTGAGCCTGCAGAATGAACTACAGGAAAAGATCATTATTTAGAGAACTCTTTTTCCCACCAGATAGACTTCAGCAAAAATTTTGGACGAGCGAAAATCTTTTATGGAGAAATTCAATTGCCATAGACTTCCTATCCCATTTGTTAATAAATGTGGAATATCTTAACAGCTTTTGAAGGTCTCTTTGTACCTTCAATGGGACCTTGCAAAGCATAGGTGAATCATGAACTATAATGCCAAAGCTTTTGTGCACAATAAGCAGTGAGCTTATCCACATTCGCAAGCATGTTGCATGAAGCTCCAGTTTCAAGAGTAAAAGTGTGGGGCAGAAAAAGTGTGCAAAGGAAACGTCATCACTGAAGTTGAATGTTGTGTGGGTCTTCTGCAGCGCAAACGTTTGCCTGAGGTTTAGCCAGGGCCCCCTTTTGCCTGATCTCCACCAAAGCTACAGGTAAGGGTATTAGTCTATGGGGTACTCAAGAAGTAAGGTGTGGAAAACAGGGTAAGCGAGTCTGGAAAGAGTACACAGCAACTCGGGTGTAGACCATCCTATAACAAATTCTCATGGTGAAAAGGCAGGAGGAAGTGCCTGAGGACCTTATAGATGCTCTAGGCAGATATGGCAGTAAAGGATGTGACCTGCGGTGTAATGTCACACCTGGTTGAAACGGAGCTCTAAGTGGTTAGGTCTTCGCAACAAGCTTGAAAATTTTACACTGTAAAGTAAATATATTAAACATAGCCCAATTTTTACAGTAACAGTCAGAGATACAGGGTAACCGTTTTACTTGTCATGGTGGGCATACCCCAAAGGGGTCTTTAGGGTCTGGGTCACATAACAATGGACCACATCCATGCACCTTTATAGTACCCTGCAGCTGACTACAGTGCATGGCACTAAGGGGTTAATTTACTAAAAGTGGAGTGTGCAACATCTAGTGCAGCTGTGCATGGTTGCCAATCAGCTGCTAATGTCAGCTTCTCCCGTTTTCGTGAATCAGCCCCCAAGTGCCAAGATGAGCACCCGTGCAGGATCTAATGCCCGAAGAAAAATTATAGGCTGTCCCCACGGCTTGAGGTGAAGCTCCCTCGGTTCTATTGAGATTAAGTAAGTCTGGGTGCACTGCTATTGTACTACTATTGTATTAGATGACAGTAAAGGAGATGATTGAAGAGTTGTAGAATCTGAAGATAAAACAAAATAATAAATGAGTTATGCGAAGAGTGATTTTCCACAAGTAAAAAGAGGTCCATCACCTTAGAACACTAGCAAAAAAGTTAAGACTCACAGAGTTGGGTAGGGTTATAGACCTGAAAAGTTTTTCCAGTACCCAATCACCTAAAGGTTCGACCATATAACCCAGGGTCTATGAATACTTTTCTTGTGCTGTATATTGTATGATTAAGATAAAAGCTGTTTGTCAAGTTGAAAATAATCAAATTGGGGTGCTGTTGCTGTATATAGACCAAGATAAAAGTAAAAAAAAAATCAACTACACAAAGAATGTTATGCCAAAATACAAATGTACCTGACACACTGTGTGAAAATCATATTGTCCAGTAACACCATGTACAGCTTAAAGGCATCTCCAATGTATGTAATGTAAAGGATTGGTGTTCTTTCCAAGCTGCCCTTGAAAATATTACGAGAATCTTCTCCCCACTGTATAGTATTTACACTTTTTTTTTGCTTTTATAAATATCCCCTATGGCAGTGCCCAGCAACCTGTCTTTTTGACAACAGCTTTCCAATTAGGGTGCATGCGCACTAGGATGCTGAAAAAAATACCAGAACCTCTGGCAGAAAAAGCAGCATAAAAAATGCTCAGTGGCTAGCATTGCACAAGAGTTTGAGCGTTTACAGGCATTTGCTTTTATAAGCTTTGTTTCCCCCCACAAAACATTCCTCTCTGCTTCGATTTCACTATAATCAATATACACTTGAAAATGCTGAACACTCCTTAATGCTGCATTTAGGAGTGTTTATGAGTGTTCAAGCATTTTTTGAGCTCAAAAACTATTGCAACTTTGGAGGGTTTTTATTTTCTGCTCTTAAACTTGTAAACACTTCTATATTGTGCATGGACACATAGGCCAACATATTGGGGAATTCAGTGGCAGAGAAAAAAAAAAAAAAGAAGCTCAAACACCTATAAAAGCAACTTTTTTTAGCCTCAGTGTACACGAGCTCTTACTCTTGAAAGTGGCCAGAATTTAGTATTGAAATTTTCCCTCCATAAACTTCAATAGGATTCGCTGCTAAGTTCAAGTTTCTCACATTTCAAACAGGATTCGATGATCCAAGGCAGATTCGCCTATCCCTAATGGTGAATGGATTATGTAATTAGAACAGGATAGCGTCACAAGCTTTCACACCCCCATAACAATTTTGGACTATCATCAACCTGCCTTGACTTGCTTGCCTGTGTAGATATTAATGCTGGGGTATATTCCCCACACTAATTAGAGCGGGGGATGCTGTTCACATGAGTAGAAAAATATCTTCAACTTTACAGAACAAGTACAGTTTAATGTGACTAACTACTATCAGCTATAGTATGACTAGGATAAAAGAGGACCTTTAAAAGATATAGCCTTCAAAAGTAGCAGAATGAGGGTTCACACCAAACAATAAAAAGAAACACAATAAAAAGACAACAACTTCTAGATGGCTCATTTTTACTGATAGAAAAAGTTGCTAACTTACTCATAAGAACATCACAAATTTATAAATCCTCTGTATAGCAGCTGAGAGACTTTGGAGCCTAACTTAAGTATAAAGTGTAAAAGGAAAACAACCAATTTGATAAGAAAAAAAAAAAAGTTAAAAAAAAATTTAAATAAATTAGACGGCATTCTAGGCGAGACAAAAACCTGCCATATACAGTCTACCTGATGGTGGACTACTTTCTCTTGCTGACCTTATTCATATTCAGAGAAGCGATCGATTGTGTAATAAAGTCATCCACTCCCAAGGTCCTTAACCTATGATTCTCTGAAGGATATTTAACATATATATTTTTTTTTATATATTGATTACTCTAGAGGTGTTAGAAACCCAAGATGGATTCGTCCCATAACATCTCCTCCTCTGTTCGTTGGTCCTCCACTTTTTTGGACTTTTTGTGTTTTTTACTCTCTTTATCAGTAGGCAACTTATCTTTCTTTTCTTTTTTTTGTTTGGGTTTGTCTCCAGAAGACTCTGTTTTCTTTTCTTTTTCGCTGTCTTCTTTGCCTGAGTCCGTTTCCTCGATTTTTCGCTTCTTTCGCTCGCTGCTCCCATTTTCTCGCTTTGATTTGCTGTGGTGTTTCCGCTCTTTGCTTCTGTGTTCCCCTTTATGGCGTTTCTCCTTTTTGTGGGAGTCACTGCTATCTTCTGAAGAAGAGTATTCACTGGAGTCAGGGCTGGGGGGAGGATGTTTTCTGGGTGGGGCTGTTTTCACGGTCATCCTTGAGGGCTTTGGTGGCCAGTAAGCCAGCTCCCAGGTAGCCATTCTAGGATCACTTGCATGATGGGAATTATAAGATGAATATGGCCGGGTCTTATGACCAAAGTATTTGTAAGCAGCAGGACTGGGGTTTGGATGAATTGGTGCCGGTTCTGTTTCCTCAGCACTGTCTTGCTGATCTTTTTCTGGTCTAAACTGAGTTTTTGGTGCCAAGCCTCGAGCCTTTTGGACTTTTATATAATCTTCTAATTCATTCTCAAAAGAGTCATAGCTCTTCTTTGTTGTCTTCATTAAATGGGCCACTATATTTTCCCTGAGAAAAATACAAGAACAACATTTTTATTTTAACAATCATCTTAGCATTGCTTAAACCAGTGTTTCTCAACCCTTTTTCAGACAAAGGCACCCTTCAGAATGATGCACAAATCTCGATGACACTACATTCTAAAATGTAAAGGCTAAACTAACAGTATGACATATTGCAGCAGCATCCACACACGTGGGCCACTTAACAGAGATTTATTCCTCCACCTGACTAGTACTCTAGCATTTCTCTTCTCCCTCAATTTCTTTTTCTCTCTGCTAACGTGACCCCAGTACTGACAGAGAGGGGCAATCAAGGATGCTGCGCAGGCACACAATGTCCTCCTTATTAACCCATGTAGTCATTGGTTGTTAGGATGCCAATGGTTGACCAGCACAGTGCCCATGTTTCCAATGCTGCAAAAAATAAAAAAAAATCCTGTGCCTTTGTGTAATACAATAATACAAAGGTAGGCTCGATCCTCTCACTAGCTTGTTGACACTATTTGGGATAATTTTCAAGCATTTTGCCAATGCACACCTGAAGATTCCAGAAGTCACCCTGGTTGAAAATAGATGGTTTAAACAATGATTTTTTTTTTTATCATCCATACAATACTGTATCCTCTATGATGAAGCCTTGGGTTCCTGGAGAAAAGTATTCTACCCAGGGAGCATTCTATGTGGAAATGTGGAAATTCGTCTTGACACCTGCTAAGCACATGCTTTTTAACCCACAAAGTAGTAATGGCTGACATCCCTGTAGCCTACACCTTCAAAAACAATTCAGAACTCATAGCACCATCTGCATATTATTCATAGCTAGTATTACAAATTGCTTGCATACACCTTTACTATGCAAAGATGAAATACTAATACAATACAGATGTTCAGAAATAAGATAAAGATTTTTTCCATACAAAAAGGACAATAAGGAAGAATAAGCTTTCGGCTATTCAAATATTAAAATGTCCTGATTTCCAGTATTTGCATACGTTTACCTATAAAAGAAGCAATTACTAGTATGGTGGTTCACTCTAGGAAAGCATATATTAGGAGTTTTGAGTAAAATATTAGAACTTTATAAACCAATCACATTGTTCTTTTTTTATTAACCACCTCCCGTCCGGCCATTGTATATAAATGGCCGGACGGTGGCAGTGCAGGGTTGGGTGGCCATTTATAAACAGCCTCCCCTCCCCCTGCTTGTGCACGCTCCCTGGGAGCGCGCAGCACCGCAGTCCGGTGCCTGCTGTGTCCGGAGGACACAGCGGAACACCGATCGTCATACAGGACCTCTCTGCGAGGTCCCGATCATGTGATCACTGATTGGCTAATCGGTGATCACATGCAGAGTAGTAAGCAAGATGTCACTTCTGACATCATTGCTTACTACGTGTGAAATCTGTGAATGATCACAGAGGTCACATGGTACAAGGCTATTGCTACAGCCTTGTACCATGTGACAAGCTGTGACCAATCATAGCTCACACAGTAGTTCTCAATGGCTGCAAGAATGCAGCCAGAGAGAAGGAGAAATTATTGCTTTTACAGCCTTTATGGGTGTAAAAGCAATCAGTGTAATAAAAAAAAAAAAAATCTTCATCACCCCCCACAAGTTGTACAGTGTCACCACTGCTAGGGTGACAGTATGTAAAAAAAACATTAAAAAAAACAAATAATAATATAAAAAAATAAAATAAAAATGTAAAAAAAAAAAAAAAAAAAGTTTAAAAAATATAATTTTTGGTTATCAACTAATTTGGGTTATTTTTGTTTTTTACTAAAAAGATAACGGAATAAATTTTGGCCATGATTTATGATGAAATATTTATTTGCAAAAACACTTTTTTCAAAATTACATAGCAAAAAAAATAAAATCCCAGTGCTGAATAAATACCGCCAAAATAAAGCTTTATCTGTCTCAAAAAAATTCTTATGGGTATAGTGTTGCATAACCGCCCAATTGTCATTCAAAGTGTGATAGCACTGAAAGCTGAAAATTGGCCTGGACAGGAAGGGGGTAAAAGTGTCCAGACTTGAATTGGTTAATTTAGTTTAGTAATTCATACAAAATGTAAAAAGTTGTCCCTGTCTAGTATAAAATCAGGATTTTATTAAAAAATTCAATGTTTAGGACTTTTAAAATCATAAACTTGGGCAGTAAGCTCATGATTTTGTGAAACCAATTTGGCACAGGTGTCTTAGGAAGCAAATGAAAAAGGTTAGCATCCAGCTGTCCTATGTACTTTTATTCCAAAGCAAATCAACAGCTCCAGACAATCACGCTAATGTAATTACTGGGTGCCAGCCTTTTTCAGTTTTTTCTTATATGCTGTAGGCCGACAGGGGCCTGGCTGAGCAGCAGAGATTTTCTGTAGCCCTAATGGAGACATGGAGGTGGAGCAGCTTTTACTTTGCTACAGGCCTTCTAGACCAACAAAGAAGATCAGCAAAAGCTGATGCCTACGGGCAGGTGTTCTGTAGTCCAGCAGGGAAGAAGGACAAGGACAGGGCTACAAATACTTCAGTATTTTACTGTTGGCGCTATATAAATCCTGTATAATAATAATAATAATATATTTTTGAAAGACAAAAGATAGGGAATTGTACATGTATTGCAGAAATGTATTCTGGATTTTTTTTTTTTGCCCTCACATACACCAACATATTTATTGTAATGACAAATACGTTTATAACATATCTACTCTATAAATTAATTATACATTAGACATTTAGCTATTTGAGAAAGACTAAGACTAGGTTCACACCTAAGTGGCTTGGCAAGCCACAATTGTATGGGCATGACACCTATTCATTTTAATGGGCTGCTGTGTCTGCATTTCATGCAGGAAAAGGGGTTCCTATACCTTTAAAATGCAGGCACAGGGAAAAAAAAAATTGCATGGTGCTTTTGTACCATGCGATTTCTCACAACCAAGAACACACTGAGTCTTCAGAAGCGTGGCAGTGCCATTAAGAATGAATGGAAGTAACACATGTCTGCAAAAGAGCAGTGTGGTTTGGTTGTGGGTGCGGGAACAGGTGCAATTTACATGCAGTCCTGCATCCACAAAGCGTGAACCTACCCTAATGCAAAATTACCCCAAATGAGAACAAAACAGTAGCAGTGAAAATGTGAAAAACAGAATCTGAAAGTAAAAAGCCAAATTCAAGGCTGACATGCCACCTGCTGGCTAACTCTGCCATTCTAGTAAAATCAGGAGTCATTTCGGGCTATATCCAAGTACTTATTTTGTTTTAAACTGGCAAAGCTGAACTTGCGGGGGCTGCAAGGTCCTCTGTTGACTACTGCCCTTGTCCAGTTTGCATTTGGGATAGAAGGATGGGGGTCTCTATCAGTATCGGTTTATAGTGAATAAGTTGAACAACATGTATTGAAACTCATAGAAATGTTTCAATTTCAGCCATCAAGACCACACTGACCCTTCCCCATATTCCAGTGAGCTACCAAGCTGTAACATCTTGGAAATTGTACATGTGTAAATTATCCTCCATATTAAAAGGCATTTTTTTCAACCATTTCAATCTCTGGACCTCAAAAAAATCTTTAAGGTTTTGTAGTCTACACTAACATATTACATATCTTATTTTTTTTTTTTTTTTTAATGGAGAGATAGGGGTTTAGTATGGTAGCAATTTTGCTTTTTCCTGTCATTTCTTCCAAGTGTATCAGTTATATAATTTGTGCATCCGCTATATATATTTAGCCCAAATAATAATTAGCAAAAATTGCGGATTAGAATTATTTCACATTAGTTTGACTTTCATGTAACACAATGGAATGGTAAAACTCAAATGCGGTTTAAGAGAGCATTATTCCCCTTTCGTTGCCAAATTGGGGACACACAGGGTGAAAAAAACAGTTTTAGTAAACTGGTAATGCAATGTTAAGATTATGTTGCTTTTATGTACTAATTAGCCCAATGGCAACTCTTTTACAGGTTATCTAAAAAAAATTTGAATGACAATGTGTTCACTTATGTAAGCATTTGATACTTGGCAAAGTGAACTCAAAATGTCATTGATCATCCAATGTCAAAAGAAATTGCTGTGACCCGGGGAGGGAAAATATATATATATATATATCTCTCAATCTATCTATCTATCTATCTCATATATATATATATATATATAATATAAATGAATGGCGATGTGAGTCACTTTTAATATGGTTTGTTGTGGTGCTTTTTGCTTTTTTTTTTGTTATATTTCATTTTTTTTTTTTTAGAATATTGTACACGGCTTTTCACCTTTTTCCCACCTGAAGATTCAAAATATAAATCCAATGAACTGAAACGTGTTGGGGTTTTCCTCTTTGGTAATATGTAGCCTAATCATCGCCATTTACACACAAAAAATTGTTTCATGTATCATGTCCATATCGTTTGTATTGATGTATTATGTTCAATAAATTTCTATTTTTTATATACGACTTTTTTTCTTATCTAGTTTTGGTGCTAAAAAAATCTCTTTTCCTCGTCTGTATGTTTTTTTATGGCTCTGCAATTTTGGGATAAGCACCTTGCATGTTGAATACATTTGACCAGCACTATATACTTACTTGATTTGATGCTTGTTTCCTTGCATATGGGATTGGTACATCTCTATGGAGGTGAGGGTAATGCTGCAGATTGGACACACGTACATCCCATCTCCTGTTTGAGGAAAAAAAAAATGTAAGCAAGAGATAAAAGGTAGGTAAAGCTGTTTTTTAATGCTACTCTAAGCTAAAACAATCAATTAACTCTTGCAGAGAGGGGAAGCCCTACCACAGGGTGAGTTTTTTTTAATATTCCTTAAGTTCAACTTTAAAGGAGGCCTCAAAGAGAGCAGAAACTGGCATTATCAACAGGTATTAATCATTTACTCCAAAAAAATACATATTTAACCACTTGAGCTCTGGAAGACCAGGTCATTTTTGCTATTCAGCACTGTGCTACTTTAACTGCTAATTGTGCGTTCATGCAACGCTGTACCCAAACGAAGCTTGTATAATTTTTTTTTTACACAAATAGAGCTTTCGTTTGGTGGTATTTGATCACTGCTGTTTTATTTTCCTTTTTATGCACAATAAATGAAAAAAAACAAACAAAAAAAAAAACAATATTTTTTAATTTCTGCTACAAAAATCAAATGTCTTCATAATTTTGGGCCAAAATGTATTGTTACATGCCTGACAAAACAAAAAGTCCCAATAAGTGTATATTGATTGGTCTGTATGAAAGTTATAGCAAACTACGGTGTATACTGGATTTTTATATATTTTATATATATATTTTTTTTATATAAAAATCCAGTATGCGCGGAGCATCATATAAATACGAGATCCTGGCTATGGCATGGTCCCTTTGAAAACGTGCAAGTGCACGAAATGCATTAGGGAGGAGCCAAGCCAGACACTACATGAGCCATGAGGAAGGCTAGCGGCCATCTTTAAAGCTGGATTTTGATCCATGTATACTATCAGCATTCCTGTATTCCAGATGTGAGTGATCTCTCTTTTATTACTCAATTATTAATAAAATTACTGCACTATATTAGCACTTTGTCTTCCTGGCTCATTTATTCTGAGCTTTCAAGGTGGATTTCTTAAGTGCTTTTATTTGGTACACACACTTTTGGAGTGGAGTTTCCCTGGAGTCCAGAGAGTAGCAGTGGAGGATCAGCTGACGTGCAGACATATGCCGGATGTTCCTCGTGGTTACCCTAGGATGATGATCACCAGGAGTGGTCTGAGTTACTCAAAAGGCACATTTTATTGCGCTATCTGGTTAGTGCAATATATTCTCATTTCCACACTCACTTGGAGCACGGATTTTTACCAATCTGAATTTTGAACTTTATCACCTACACACCATAATCAGACGCAATTCATACACTCACTGGGGCGCTATCCAGCGCATTCTTCTATCAATATTTCTTGGTGGGACTGTACACAGCCTGGCTGCCTAATATGCTAGTTTTAGTATGTGATGTTTGCACATGTAGGTTTACATAAACACATTCACTTTTATATTTATATGTATTATGTTAGAGCGCTGCATTTTTTATTCAGTGCCTGCCATATGCCCTCTGGAAAGTACCGTGACTGGAAGGAGAGAGCTGCAGATCCATACTGCGGGGATTTCTGCAGATTCATACTGCGGGGATTTCTGCAGATTCATACTGCTGGATTTCTGCAGATTCATACTGCGAGATTTCTGCAGATCCATACTGCTGGGATTTCTGCAGATCCATACTGCTGGGATTTCTGCAGATCCATACTGCTGGGATTTCTGCAGATCCATACTGCTGGGATTTCTGCAGATCCATACTGCTGGGATTTCTGCAGATCCATACTGCTGGGATTTCTGCAGATCCATACTGCTGGGATTTCTGCAGATCCATACTGCTGGGATTTCTGCAGATCCATACTGCTGGGATTTCTGCAGATCCATACTGCTGGGATTTCTGCAGATCCATACTGCTGGGATTTCTGCAGATCCATACTGCTGGGATTTCTGCAGATCCATACTGCTGGGATTTCTGCAGATCCATACTGCTGGGATTTCTGCAGATCCATACTGCTGGGATTTCTGCAGATCCATACTGCTGGGATTTCTGCAGATCCATACTGCTGGGATTTCTGCAGATCCATACTGCTGGGATTTCTGCAGATCCATACTGCTGGGATTTCTGCAGATCCATACTGCTGGGATTTCTGCAGATCCATACTGCTGGGATTTCTGCAGATCCATACTGCTGGGATTTCTGCAGATCCATACTGCTGGGATTTCTGCAGATCCATACTGCTGGGATTTCTGCAGATCCATACTGCTGGGATTTCTGCAGATCCATACTGCTGGGATTTCTGCAGATCCATACTGCTGGGATTTCTGCAGATCCATACTGCTGGGATTTCTGCAGATCCATACTGCTGGGGATTTCTGCAGATCCATACTGCGGGGATTTCTGCAGATCCATACTGCGGGGATTTCTGCAGATCCATACTGCGGGGATTTCTGCAGATCCATACTGCGGGGATTTCTGCAGATCCATACTGCGGGGATTTCTGCAGATCCATACTGCGGGGATTTCTGCAGATCCATACTGCGGGGATTTCTGCAGATCCATACGGCGGGGATTTCTGCAGGTCCATACTGCGGGGATTTCTGCAGGTCCATACTGCTGGGATTTCTGCAGGTCCATACGGGGGATTTCTGCAGATCCATACTGCGGGGATTTCTGCAGATCCATACTGCGGGGATTTCTGCAGATCCATACTGCGGGGATTTCTGCAGATCCATACTGCGGGGATTTCTGCAGATCCATACTGCGGGGATTTCTGCAGATCCATACTGCGGGGATTTCTGCAGATCCATACTGCGGGGATTTCTGCAGATCCATACTGCGGGGATTTCTGCAGATCCATACTGCGGGGATTTCTGCAGATCCATACTGCGGGGATTTCTGCAGATCCATACTGCGGGGATTTCTGCAGATCCATACTGCTGGGATTTCTGCAGATCCACACTGCGGGGATTTCTGCAGATTCATACTGCGAGATTTCTGCAGATCCACACTGCGTGGATTTCTGCAGATCCACACTGCGGGGATTTCTGCAGATTCATACTGCGGATTTCTGCAGATTCATACTGCGAGATTTCTGCAGATTCATACTGCGAGATTTCTGCAGATTCATACTGCGAGATTTCTGCAGATTCATACTGCGAGATTTCTGCAGATTCATACTGCGGGGATTTCTGCAGATCCATACTGCGGGGATTTCTGCAGATCCATACTGCAGGGATTTCTGCAGATCCTGACCTGCAGTGAAGATCTGGTGCATGGCTCCTGGGGTTTGCAGTATGCAGACGCTAACATAAGAAGAACTTGGCTGAGTAGCAGAGTGGCGGGAAGATGTCTCCTAGGGAACATTCTGCCGCCAGAACTGAGCCTCCCCGCTGTACTAACCAGTTCCCTGGGCTCTCTCCTTCCAGTTCTTGCACATCTTCACATGGATATCTTTCAGCATGCCTCTGAGCCTGTCAGCTTCCTCAGTGAGAAAGCTGACAGGTTCAGAGAGGCATGTTGACAATGGAGCCATCGAGGGTCGGATAGGGACAGCCAAAGGGCCAGCTGCAATTTGCCCAAGTCTGGTCTGAATAAAGGAATACAGAAGTAAAAACAATATACCACAATAACATTCTAACTAATATTTTTTTTACAGATAAAGTCAATTTACTAGCTTATCGCCATAGATACATGTATTGACTACTGACTGATCTGAGATGTTGGAAGCAAATCTTGAATCCCAATTGGCCTGTCCAACACTATATTCATAGACACAACCTGTGAATTAACTGACTGGTCTTTAATCTCAAAGCAAACTAACAAAAGATTACTTAACCTAATAGCTGCTGTATCTTATGAATTTAAGTCTCCCTTAATATGGCATGCACATGTACTTAAAATTGGGGGGTGCACATACCCACGCACCTCTAAGAAGCCTGGGAGATAAAAATACAACAATCTATCCCACCCAAAGTTGTGGCACTATACAAGGAGGGACTCTGCAAAATTAGCTCCAAAATCAAAAGCCTCTATGCTGTGGAAAAATCAAAATCTCTCCCACATGACAAAAATGGGACACCACATGAAACAACCTCTTGGCTATATCCTTTAAATATCAATACAGAGACCCCCATGCAGCCTTGCACAACTTGGGCTCCCTAGTTACTATAGTGGTAGTCACATCAACGCCACCTAATTAACCAGCCCCAATAAAATTTCAATACTACACTGAAAGGTCCATGGAGGTCTAAAGGTCCTACATTAAAGTCCTAAGAAATGCTAGGCCATTTGCCCTCCCTGTGGCTTTAAGTGCATTAAAGCGAATTGGGAAAAAAAAAAAAAGTGTGTTCTTCAAAAAAAAAAAATCTCTTCTCCTAGCAAATGTTATGTTTGTGTGCACTCTCTTGTACAGTGCAATGTACAACCCCTGCATCTGCAAAATATGAATGGAGCCAGGTTCTGTGACAATGAAACTTCATTGCGCATGCACAGAAGTTACATCATCAGTGACCGCTGAAAAGCCAGAGCAGGAAGATGGCAGACGGAAAAGACTTGCCAGAGAAAATGTTGACAGGAGCCAACAAAACGGCAAGGGACAGCAGAGAACTGTTAGGAGTGGAGGAGGGTAAAAGGTGAGTCCTCACTAATGTGCAAGTAGGTTATGGCAAAGATTCCCTCTGCAGATGGTGGGTTCATTTGGCTGTGTGTTTTATTAAACCCAAATAATAGGTGTTTATGTAGAACTTTGAAGGTCGTGTATACTTTTCTAATCTTACCCCCTGAGTCCACTGAGAGCCCCGTATCTTCCATCTCCTCCATCATTTTCCGTCGTAACTCATTGCGAGCATGTTTCTTGCCATTGTAATGCTGCAGAGCCACCGATGGGTTGTTGAAAGAGGCACAGCAGAGCTTGCAGTACTTGTTAGGGTCACTGAGATCAATCTCAGTATCAGCAGGGGATGGCTCGGAGCTCGCTTCCTGCTGGTTGGATTTCTCTGACGGAGGGGACGTGACATCATCTTGCTCATTGACAGGTGGAACAGCTGGAATAGTGCAGAGAAAGGCGAAGTAAACAGCTGAAAAGCAACTGGCACTACAGACTGTGAGATGTACACATAAGTGAGGTTACTGAAACAAGTCAGGAGAGCGGAGACTCAACAAAAGATTACTAACAAGGGGCCAGAAGTTTTTTCCAAACATTTTCTCTACTGTAAAATACTATCAGTATTTGCTGCACCCAAGTACCATCTGGCAAACCCCCTACATCTTTTTCTTCTTGGTATACTTTTAAAAATACTAAATTAACAATCCAACAGTTAAACTGTAATAAGCACAGGTGTGCAGACCTCCGAATATAAACTCAGAAATGACATCAATACAATCTCACAATAAATAAATAGTATTGTGGAAAAGGTGTCAACATTAGATATAAAGGCTAACTAACCATTGAATTATTATTATTATACAGTATTTATAAAGCGCCAATAGTTCGCTCAGCGCTGTACATTATCTTAAAAAGAATATGTCACTTTGCCCATTCAGGTCCTATAGGAAGATTCCCCCCCCCTTATATTTGTCTTGCTTCCTCATCACTCCAATGGAGCTCTAAATAAATACTCTGTTTTTCTGGGTATGGGAGAGAATGCAATCTTCTCCCAGGATGCAGTCAATCCGCAGTCCTGAACATTGCCATGTAAGTAGGAGGCAGAAGATAAATGTATAAAGCTTCCATCTGACTTATTCATGTTTTAGATCAGTGGTCTCCAAACAGAGCCCTTTTGTGTGCCTTATCTGGCCGATGGGGGACCATTTCTGCCACTGAAACAAGGCACTATTCCTCCCACTGACACCAGCAATACGACAATAGTTTCTGCACTGACACCAATGATGGGGCACCATTCCTCCCACTGACACCAATGATGGAGCACCATTCCTCCCACTGACACCAATAATGGGGCACCATTCCTCCCACTGACACCAATGATGGGGCACCATTCCTCCCACTGACACCAATGATGGTGCACCATTGCTCCCACTGACACCAATGATGGGGCACCATTCCTCCCACTGACACCAATGATGGTGCACCATTCCTCCCACTGACACCAATGATGGGGCACCATTCCTCCCACTGACACCAATGATGGGGCACCATTCCTCCCACTGACACCAATGATGGGGCACCATTCCTCCCACTGACACTGATGGGGCACCACCAATGATGGGCACCATTCCTCCCACTGACACCAATGATGGAGCACCATTCCTCCCACTGACACCAATGATGGAGCACCATTCCTCCCACTGACACCAATGATGGTGCACCATTCCTCCCACTGACACCAATGATGGGGCACCATTCCTCCCACTGACACCAATGATGGGGCACCATTCCTCCCACTGACACCAATGATGGGGCACCATTCCTCCCACTGACACCAATGATGGGGCACCATTGCTCTTACTGACATCAATGATGGGGCACCATTCCTCCTACTGACACCAATGATGGGGCACCATTCCTCCTACTGACATCACTGATGGGGCACCATTCCTCTTACTGACACCAAAGATGCGGCACCATTCCTCCTACTGACATCAATGATGGGGCAACTATTCCACCCACTGATTCCTATGATGTTGCAACTATTCCTCACACTATCATCAAAGGTGGGGCCCTATTCCTCCCACGAAAAATTCTGGATAAACCCTCTGCACACTGCTATATACGCTTTTTAGCAAACTTTGCAATAAAGGGATCTTTTCTTCACACATATTGCAATACACATTTTAGCTGGCCAATTGCGTCAAAGTAATCCCTCCTGGCCAGTCCTGCGCTGCCAACTCAAATGCTACTGTGGAGACAATGCCAAAATGGGGCAAACAGACACAAAGTGGGGAAGAGCTACTAGGTTTAGGTCTGGCACCTGATAGATTATATGCATGTACAAGCTACTGCGATCTGAGCACAGCTATATCTATATTCTGTTGTCCTGCAGGTCAGTGGCCAGACCTAAATCTGGTAGCTCTCCCACACTTTGTTTACTCCCACTGATTCCAGAACATTGCCTACTCCAACTGGCCATGGTCCCCCACCCCCTCTAAAGTCTGAAGGGCAGTAAACCTGCCCTTTCTTTTGAAAGTTTGGAGATCCCTGTTCTGATTGTCTCATTACAGTGTTCATGACAGGTTTCAATGCTCCATTCAATTGTAATTGTATATGGGGAGTATTAACATCCAGGGTTTATATTCTTTTTTTCATCCTTTTTTACCTGGAAGTTTTCATCACAAGAGTATTTTTACCCCATTAGATAGCACCTCTCATTTTTCAGTCCAGAGGCCCAGCTAAAAGCTTGTAGCTGTATACTGTGTAAAATCCCATTCACGGCCACATATTGCCATCTGTACTGGACAATCTATTGCCACTTGTTAAATAATTTCTTTTAGATGGGAAACAATAAAACAATAGCCACTGTGGACATGTTGGACTGTAGTATTTAGCATACATGTGCAGTGTACTCCATTTTTAAGGAGATGCTACAGATACTATTTATGCAATAACACACGGAGCAGTACTATACAGCGCCTTGAAAAAAGTATTCATTCCCCTTGAAATTTTCTATATTTTTTAATGTTACAACCAAAAAACGTAAATGTATTTTATTGGGATTTTATGTTATTGACCAACAGAAAGTGGCACATATTTGTGAAGTGGAAGGAAACCGGTAAATGGTTTTCAAAATGTTTTAGGTCTGGACTTTGACTGGGCCATTCTAACACATGAATATGCTTTGATCTAAACCATTCCATTGTAGCTCTGGCTGGATGTTTCGGGTCGTTGTCCTGCTGGAAGGTGAACCTTCACCCCAGTCTCAAGTCTTTTGCAGACTCTAACAGGTTTTCTTCTAAGATTGCCCTGTATTTAGCTCCATCCATCTTCCCGTGAACTCTGACTAACTTCCCTGTCCCCGATGAAGAAAAGCATCCCCACAACATGATGCTGCCACCACCAAGTTTCATGGTGGGGATGGGGTGTTCAGGGTGATGTGCAGTGTTAGTTTTCCGCCACACATAGTGTTTTGCTTTTAGGCCAAAAAGTTAAAGTTTGGTCTCATCTGACCAGAGCCCCTTCTTCCACATGTTTTCTGTGTCCCCCCACATGGCTTCTCACAAACTGCAAAACAGGACTTCTTATGGCTCTCTTTCAACAATGGCTTTCTTCTTGCCACTCTTCCATAAAGGCCAGATTTGTGGAGTGCAAGTCTAATAGTTGTCCTGTGGACAGATTCTCCACCTGAGCTGTGGATCTCTGCAGCTCCTCCAGAGTTACCATGGGCCTCTTGGCTGCTTCTCTGATTAATGCTCTCCTTGCCCAGCCTGTCAGTTTAGGTGGACGGCCATGTCTTGGTAGGTCTGCAGTTGTGCTATACTTTTTCCATTTTCAAATGATAGATTGAACAGTGCTCCATGAGATGTTCAAAGCTTGGTATACTTTTTTTTTTTTTTATAACCTACCCTACTTTAAACTTCTCCTCAACTTTATCCCTGACCTGTCTGGTGTATTCCTTGGCCTTCATGATGCTGTTTGTTCACTAATGTTCTCTAACAAACCTCTGAGAGCTTCACAGAACAGCTGTATTTATACTGAGAATAAATTACATACAGATGGACTATTTACCAATTAGGTGACTTCTGAAGGCAATTGGTTCCGCTATATCTTAGTTAGGGGTATTAGGAGTAAAGGGGGCTGAATACAAATGCACGTCACACTTTATACATATTTATTTGTAAACAATTTTGAAAACCATTTATCATTTTCCTTCCACTTCAAAATTATGTACCACTTTGTGTTGGTTTATCACATAATGGCCCGATAAAATACCTTTACATTTCTGGTTGTAACATAACAAAATGTGAAGAATTTCAAGGGGTATGATTACTTTTTCAAGGCACTGCATATCAGTTACATTGCCTGTATTATGTTTGGGAGTTCCCTCGTGTGAAAAAAAAAAAAATCACAAGACCTTAGAGGCTATGGGGAAACAGGGAAGTGGTCTCTGCTGTCTGAGTATACCTAAATATGGCTCCAGAATACACTCTTCAAAATACAGATCTGGACCAAAAGTGTGATTACTAACTTTTATATGGAATTAAATTAGAGCAAAGAGCTCTTTAGCACACATTCTCACCTGCTTCATCAGGAGCGGTCATTGAGGACTCACCGACTTCGGCTGTCCACTCATTTGTTTCCCCAGACAACTGCCTCAGCTTTTTGCTGTGAATTTTCCCCACATAATGTGACTGGGCAACAACCGGAGAACTGAATACCATGTTGCACAAGCTACAAAACTTGTTTCTATCCTGGGCTAATTGTTGATCCGCCTGAAATCAGAAAGTAGTGTTAGACACCTGTAATAAAGGTTTCCATAAAGGAGAACAGTCAGACAAGAGTAGAGAGATTCTCAAGAAGTACTGAAAACTACCAGCCTGCAGTTTTATTCTGTATAAACAGTTGATTCTCGATCGGTGCTCCCATGGCTGCTTTAGCTTAAAAAGCTGATCTCCAACTTTAAGTTTAAACAATTTGTTTGGACCAAGCTGGTCCAAGTGAACTATTACGAGATGCAGCGGCTGGGAGCGCTGTATATACTACAACGCTGTGTTCCGGTAGTAGGATGGGAACTTCCTGTCCCACTCCTGGAATAAAACTGAGTCAGGCCAAGCAGTGCTCGGCCTTCACAGGGAGGTTTGCATTCTAGGAGTCAAAGATCATGTCGGGATTCGCCCACCTCAGCTAGAGGAAGCTTTGTATTCATTCATTCCATGTGAATGGCTGAGCAGCACTCTTCCCAACTCTATTTTATTTTACTCTATTCAGGAGTGAGAAGGAAAGTTCCCATCCCACTGCCGAAGCACAGTGCCACACACTGCATGTAGATGAGGCCACATACAGGTTATACAGCACTCCCAGCTGTTGATCTATTAGTGAAGGTAATTGTTTGTGTGGAGCACCTTGGTCCAAACCATTTAAACTTCACTAAAACTGGAGATCAGATTTATACATTTTTTTGTGCTTTTCTGTATAGTATACTGTATGTGCCACCTCCTGTCACAATGTTTAAAGTAAAGTTTTGTTTTTTTCAGAAGAACATTTTCAGCAAGTACAGTAAATACCTGTTGATGTTGCTAGAAATGCAGTGTCCTCGGCACTTCCTGCACTCAACTAATATATCAAAATATATAAATAAATAAGGTGGTCAGTATAAATCCAAAAGCAGGAGATCAGCCTAGTGTGACAGAATACAGTGCAGTGAGTGTAGTCACCCTAGGACAAGAAGCGTGTTATTTGCAGGCAGGGCCATGGATAAGGGGGTACCACCAGTCCTCCTGTATAGGGCTAAGGCAGCTTGGTGAATCGGATGTGGACAGGGAGGGTGATTGGCATGGCAGGGGGGCAATTACTGGAACCCCCGAAAAGCTCTCTCTGCAGGAGCTGAAAGCTGGCTTCTTCTCCTCTCCCTCCCACTGGCTTTCAGCTGCTGCAGAGAGAGCCATACAGGGCATTGGGTCCAGGAATTGCCCTTCCTGCACCCTTCCAATGCACCACACATTTCCCCCTGCAGCCCAGGCCCTCCTTTGTGCCCCCCACCCACAGTGATGCCAGCTTCCCACCTTTCCTTTCCTCTGGCAGCTGCAAGCCACATTTACCAGTCCCTACCTTTCCAGAATGAAAACAATGAGTGATCGGTACTGATCACTCATTGTGTTCATTTGTAACTAAAGCATAGTAAACTGTTTTTTTTGTTTTTTTTTGGGGGGGGGGGGGGGCTCTGTCAGGTTGACTGTATGGGGCCCTGCTTTTTCTAACAGTAGCCCTGCTTGAAGAATTACCAGGTGAAAAAAGGGGGAAAAAAAGCCACTACATCTAAAGACTAGTAAGCAGCAATGTATTACATTTTTGCATTTGGGCTTAGATACGCTTTAAAGCTAGCCATACACATTTAGATTTCTCTCATTCAGCCTGCAGGGCATGTTCCTTTACACACAATAAACAGCATGGATGGAGAAATCTCTCCTGAAAGCTATTGTATTCAGCCAGCCACAGCATACACAGCTGTCTGAAACATCGAACAGTGACTGCATCTGAGAGTATCCAGTCACTGTTCGGCCGATAATTTTCAACCTGACTTTGAATCTTTTCCATAAGCTTCTGATGAGCTGGTTGTGTCAAAAGGGTCCAACCACAGTTCAATTCAGCTCAAATCAGCAGGAGTTGGCCAGAATTTAAGCAATGCATTGCCAGCTTAACTCTACTTCAATTGTACAAATGACAAACAGAGAGACTACAGATTTCAGTCTGTCACCCATTTTTGCTTCCCATCAATCTGTACACACTCCCAGCCTGAGATGATGTTATCACTTTGTGTGCAAAAGGATAACTGATAGAAAGATAGACATTTTCAAATTAAATTTTTTTTTCCATTTCTATTTAGGATATACTGACCACACACTTAATGGACTATACTAGTTTACACATTTGCCTAGACTTCCATGAAGCAAAGAGACATCCCCTGATGCTATTTTACACCTTCATTGATCTTACTACACTACAGCAGCCTCTAATCTCTGCTCTAATTGCAGAGTATGATCTGCAGCGCATTGCAAAGCATCATAGTGCATCAGAACGTGCTGCATGAAAATGATGTGTTAATGTGAACAGAAACCATAGGACATAAATCAAATTGCATTTTTCTTGTACTGGGACAGTGCTGGGCAACACAGCCCAATGCTACTGAGTCCTAAAGGTGTGATACACAACAGGGTCTTTGCTTTTCATCTGCATAGTCACAATTGGGATGTAGTAATGCTGGAGCGTGCAAATCTGGTGCAGCTCTGCACAGAAACCAATCTGCTTCCAGGAAGGTCAAAGCCTAATTGAAGCTGAAGTTAGAAGATGACTAGCTACCATGCACAGCTCCATTAGATTCCAAGTAAATCCAATGTGTTCTAAAAGATAAACATATGGATTACAGATTCAATACACACCAACATATAATACAAACACTAATCTCATCATGGGTAATTTCAAATTATTATTACTGGAGCACTTTGCAATTTGGTAAACAAACTAAATTTGATTTAACCCCTTGCCCTCTGGGGGATTTACCCCCCCCCCCCCCCCCCCCCCGACCAGGCCATTTTTTGCGATACGGCTCTGCATTACTTTAACTGACAATTCTGCGGTCATGAAACGCTGCATATAAATTTATGCCCTTTTTTCCCCACAAATAGAGTCTTCTTTCGGTGGTGTTTTATCGCCTGTGCGAATATTTTTTGCATTATAAAAAAGGAGAGAAAAAAAAAAGAAGACCAACAATTTTGAACAAAAAATTTTAAATATATCTTTTTGCTATTATACATATCCATTAAAAAAAATAAAATAAAATTTCATCATAAATTTAGGCCAAAATGCATTCTGCTACGTCTTTGCTAAAAGCAAAAAAAAAAAACAACACAGAATAGGTGTAAATTAATTGGTTTACATGCAAGTTATAGTGTCTGCAAATGGCGGTATACATACTGGAATATTTATTTTTTTATACTAGTAATGGTGGCAATCAGCGACTTATTCCGTAACTGCGTTCTGACACTGGGTGGAAACTGACTTAACTGCCACTGATTTCCCAATGACACTAATACCTTGATCAGTGCTAATGAAAAGCACTGACACTGTACTAATGACGCTGGGCAGGAAGGGGTTAACGTCTGGGGCGATCAAAGTGTTAACTATGTGCGGTTTGTGATTTACTAGGGAAACATGTTGCTGTGTATTTCTCTGCACAGCAGCATGTTTTTGTTGGCAGGAGAGAGACGTGTTGTTTACACATGGCTCTCTCCCGTCAGTGTTACTTGGTGATCTACGGGTGCCGGTGGGGAATCTCTGGCCGGGACCTGGTGATGGACATCCATAACCGCCAATAGCGGTGCATGCTCCCTACCCAGAAAAGTGGTTAATACATTGTAAAAAAAAAAAAAAAAAAAATTTACAGTAAAAGCAATTTTATTTCACTTCAGTTTTATACATTTATACTTACTGAACTGCTGGTCTGTGAATGAGGCCTTGAAATCTAAAACAAATACGGATAGACATGAGGAACAAGTGCTTATCTGTAGGAAAGACTGGACATGTCTAATTGCAGAACATATGAAATGTTTCTTAAAAGGCCAAGTTCACTTTTTTTTTTTAATGTAAAATCCAGCTCCCCTATTCATCAATATACCATTAATATACCTCAGTTGCAAAAATATACACGCTCTCTTTGATCTGGAGAGCAAGGCCTTAGCCTTTGGTAAATTTCTTAAATTTTTCAATGCCTGGAATGTAGACAGAGGAGCCAGTAGGACCCTGGAAGCAGATTACCAGCTGACCTCATTAGCACACACATCCTGCACTGATCTCATCAGTACACTTCCTTCACCCATCAACTATTTTTTCACAGCATCCCGGGATCTTTCCCCATGTGCATTTGCCTGGCTACCCCAATTATTATTATTATTATACAGTATTTATATAGCGCCAAAGGGTATGCTCAGCGCTGTACAGTAGCAGGGGGACATAACATGAGACAAGACAGTAACAATACACTACACAAGGGGTTCGAGGGCCCTGCTCTTTCAAGCTTACAATCTAGGAGGGAGGGGAAGGTGGCACAGGAGGAGATGGCTGTGGGGGATGGAGTGGTGGGTGGAGTGGAGGTGGAGGTAATTGTTGGGTGAGGTCGGGTGTTAGGTGAGGTTGGGGTAGGCTTCCCTGAAGAGGAGGGTTTTCAGGGTGCGCCTGAAGGTGAGGAGGGTAGGTGACATTCCGATGGATTGGGGTAGGGAGTTCCAGAGGATGGGGGAGGTCCTAGAGAAGTCCTGCAGTCAGGCGTGGGAGGAGGAGACCAGGGAGCAGGAGGACCTGTGAGGAGCGGAGGGCATGGGTAGGGTAGTATCTGGGTATCAGGTCAGTTATGTAGTTCGGGGCGGCATTGTGAGTGGCCTTGTAGGTCAGGGTTAGCAGCTTGAACTTGATGCGTTGGGCAATCGGGAGCCAATGAAGGGATTGGCAGAGGGGGGGGGAGGCAGATGTGGAGCGCTTAGTGAGGTGGATGAGTCTGGCCGCTGAGTGTAGGATCGACTGGAGTGGGGATAGCGTTTGTTTGGGTAGGCCAGTGAGAAGGGAGTTGCAATAGTACCCCAATGTCTCTACAGATGGGTTCAGGACACATGCAGCCCAAGGGACACCCCTGGTATAGCCCAAGGGCCTGCTTGATTGAATATAGAGTGATTGGATAGATGGTGTGTAGTTCTATTACATAGTTTTGGTAAATCTAAAAGAGATTGTATAATGTATGGCCACATTTATACACCTAAAATTACCTAGTTGCGCTTTCAGTGTCATTAATTGTTTATGGCGCACCAAACACAGAAACGAGCACACATTTTGCCACATGAAAAAATGGGTGACAAATGCAGCAAAATGCGCAGTAAAAAAAATGTACAACACGCATCACACCAAAATGTCCCATGAGCAACTTTTCCATATGTAGAGCAGCCCATTAAAATCAATGGTTTACCCTATGTGTTATCACTGGAAAAATGCACCAAAAAACATGTGCTCCTGCTACTCTCAGTGTGTATGGGGCCTGAAAGTGAAATTGGTGCGTTTACACAAAACAATGAGGCTCCATTCACATCTGTGTGTTTCTGAATGCATGGCAAACTGCACAGAAAATGCACGCTTTGCCATGCGCTTCAGAAACACGCTGTAAATGTGCATCATGTTTGTGTTGTCACTACATGTTAAAGGTACCCCAAAAACTTCAGTATCACATGGTGCTCCACTGCAAAAAAAAAAAGTTCTGGAGCTTTTTTGGGGCGATTGTTGTATGTATGGCAGCCCGTTGAAGTGAATGGGTTACCCTATGCGTCACGAGTGAAAACACTCCAAAACACCCAAAACAAACGCATACGTGAATGTGAATCTTCACTACGTGGCGATGTGAACGGGGCCTGATAACTGAGTGTCTCCATCCACACCCTCCTATGTACTTGTATAAAGATGGCTATACATTATGCAATCTGATTGTACAATTTCCTTTAGATTTACCAGAACTATGGAGTAGGAGGTCACACCTGACAAAATCCATTCAATTTGTATCAAATCAGACGGGCCCTTGTACTACATGGCTAATGGGAGAAAGGTAGTATTGTAATGAGGGAGGTGTGGTCCAAAGTGGTGAACTCGCCCTATCACACCCTCTTCTGTGCTGAAACCAGGAAGTGAAGGCTTCTGCGAGGTGGTCTACAGGAAGTGAATGCTGAGTTATCATCTACAGGAAATGAGCGATCTGAAAATCTGTTCAAAATCTCACATAACCTGACCAAAAATAAAACTGCCTGTGGATGAAGTAAGTGAGAGAAAAGCAGATTGGGAAGGCTGGGCCAGAAATGGCAATGGAAAACGCTTCTCTTTATTATGAAAAGTGAAAATCTACCCAAAAATGTGAACTTATCCTTTAAAAAATGGACAGCCAGCTGTATGCTGTGGAAAGATGTAAAAGCGCCACTTCTATCTTTGCCTGGTCTTCCTTTGGGGTTTTCACTTTCTGTCCGCTTGATTGGGAAGACCATGGGAGTCACGGCACGGCTGCTATAAGGCGCTCTCTGGAATCCCGTGAATGCAGATTGTGCTGCGCATACGCCATAGACACCATAATTCACTCCCACCTATTTCATATGTATACTTTTCTCAACGTATCATACCTTTTCTTCCTGGGCAGTGCTTATATGCAGCAGTGCCCCCAACATCCTAAATGTGGAGGGTATTTTAGTAGACCCCCCCCCCCCCATTTAAAGTTTTTCATGCGATATGGTGGTTGTTCTCCATCTCATGCACAAAAAAACCTCTTACATTTGCACCCTCTCCCCAATTCTTAAACATGATCTGATCCAGTGATGTGCTGTGCTGTGCCTGGCCGCAGGTCTTCTCCCTTCACTTCCTGGTCTCACAGGAAACTCAGGCAGTGGTGGGAGCCATTGACTGCTGCTGCTGTCAGACAAATCCTGTGAGGGGTGATCATGGGGGAGTGGCCAAGCTGTGCTGTATGTATCTCTGTGTGTACCCGTATAAGAGAGGCAGAGAATACCGGTGGGGGACGTATGAGACCGCTCCGGGCAATACCACTGTATGGAGCCGGTAAGAAACCTTTTTATTTAATTTGAACAATCCCTTTACAGTCACTTATAATGCTGTTAAAATGTTATATAACAATTACTACTTTTTCAAAATGGGGTAAGAATTTAGCCTACTATTTCAATCTTACCCTAATACAGCACCTGTTTGTCAGGTTAGCCAGACACTTTACCAACTCTGTGTGACACTGTGACAGACCCAACCCGGGACAGGGGCTTTTAGAGGGAACTGCAGGCTAGTCACTTGCCTACTGACCATTGCCCTGACATCTTTGGGAGGTGTATGCCTGGGGGGAACCTTTGGAGTAGTTTACTTCGGAATCGAGTCCATGTCTCCCCAAAACACACACTCAGAACTAGAGTACCAGGATTCAGATTTGGGGTTGCTGTGCCTAAACCAGCATTGACTGCTTCAACCCCACCCTTCCTAGACTCAGAGACTCTAAGATGATGTTGATATAATCAGCTCAAAACAACCTGATTCTGAGGTCTCTTGCTGTATTCTATTTATTAAGGTGGTATGTGTTTACTGTGTCCTTGTCCCGTTGTTAATAGAGTTAATTGAGTCACCTATTGTTTGTCTGTCTGCTAGAGATGTGATTATTATGTCCATTTTACCTTGTTACCAAACTATTGTGGGATGTTTATCCTAATGTATAATATTTGTTTTTATTGTTCACGAGGACTGCCCCTATTCCTGAAGTGTATGAAAATAAGTATTTTACATAGTTAGTCTGGCTGAAAAAAGACAAAAGTCCATCCAGTTCAACAATTAAAAAAAAAAAAAGTTATAATCCTATACCCACAGTTGATCCAGAGGAAGGCAAAAAACCCAGCAAAGCATGATCCAATTTGCTCCTGCTGGGAAAAAAATTCCTTTGAGATCCCACGAGAGGCAATCAGATATTCCTGGATCAACTTTACCTACAAATGTTAGTATCCAGTTATATTCTGTGTATCTAAGAAATAATCCAGGAATTTTTTAAAGCAATCCACTGAGCTGGCCAGAACCAACTCTTGAGGGAGTCTATTCCACATTTTCACAGCTCTCACTATGAAGAAACCTTTCCGTGTATGGAGATTAAATCTCTTTTCCTCCAGACGTAAAGAGTGCCCCCTTGTCCTCTGTGAGGACCTCAGGGTGCATAACTCTACACCGAGTTCACTATATGAACCACTGATGTATTTATACATGGAGATCATATCCCCCCTTATGTATTATACATGGAGATCATATCCCCCCTTATGTATTATACATGGAGATCATATCCCCCCTTATGTATTATACATGGAGATCATATCCCCCCTTATGTATTATATTATACATGGAGATCATGGTTATGTATCATATATCCCCCCTTATGTATTATACATGGTGATCATATCCCCCTTATGTATTATACATGGTGATCATATCCCCCCCTTATGTATTATACATGGAGATCATATCCCCCCCTTATGTATTATACATGGAGATCATATCCCCCCCTTATGTATTATACATGGAGATCATATCCCCCCTTATGTATTATACATGGGGATCATATCCCCCCCTTACGTATTATACATGGAGATCATATCCCCCCTTATGTATTATACATGGGGATCATATCCCCCCTTATGTATTATACATGGGGATCATTTCCCCCTTATGTATTATACATGGGGATCATATCCCCCCTTATGTATTATACATGGTGATCATATCCCCCCCCTTACGTATTATACATGGAGATCATATCCCCCCTTATGTATTATACATGGCGATCATATCCCCCCCTTACGTATTATACATGGAGATCATATCCCCCCTTATGTATTATACATGGGGATCATTTCCCCCTTATACATGTATTTATACATGGTGATCATATCCCCCCTTATGTATTATACATGGTGATCATATCCCCCCTTAATCTCCTCTTCTCAAGAGAGAATAAATTCATTTCCTCTAATCTTTCCTCATAGCTGAGCTCCTCCATGCCTTTCTGTTCAATAAAGTAGTTCCAGTTGCACCTGAGCTAGTGCCATCCAGTTCTTGGGTGCAATGCACAGCTATAATACCTTGGTCCCAGTGGTGACTGGGACCAATGTATTGGGTCCCAATACTGAGTCCCAGTGGTGAGGAAGCAGCTCTCTGACGGAAACGCCCCAATTGGGGTGACAGGCAATCTGTCACAGACGTAATCAGGAGGTGTCTGAGTTTCATGTACCTGGTGAAAACAAGTTTGCTTTACCATGGTACTAACCTGCCTAGAGTTTGCAAGTTCTCCCTGTGCTGCATGAGTTTCCTCCCGGTACTCCGGTTTTCTCCCACCCTCCAAAGACATGCTGGTAGGTTAATTGTCCCTAGTATCTGTATGTTGGAATGTGAGTTAGGGACCTTAGATTGTACGCTCCTTGAGGGCAGGGACTGATGTGAATTATAAATATTTGTAATAAATAAAGAATACGTAAACAAAAAACAAAGTGTGTGCAACTTACTAGCCCAAATGATGGCTACATTATTTTTTTTCTCACTTTGTTTTCCCCTGGTAATTCTGTCCTTCTGTGGCCACATACACCACTCCACTGTATCTGGGGAGGGAGCATGGTTGCCATCCAAGCTGGGCTTCAAACATGTCCACCATTGTTCATCTCCATTACACAGCAGTTAATGGAGTTAGAGGTTATGCAAGAAAAGGAAGATTGCTTTTGCTGTCTTTCTAGCTCACAGAAATTTTTTAAAGGACAGTATTTCAGGAAAGATAAAAAAAAGGTATGTTCTTTTTTTAATGCATTTAAAAAAGAAAACTAATGCAGCCCACACATCTAAAGAATGGCAAGCTTCAATAAACCTTTTTTTTTTTTAACGTATACTTTAACAATGTGTCTGACGGCGGAGCACACACTATACACAAAAGTAAAACAAAAAAACAAATGATCTGTTTAAGCTAAAGAAACTGCTTGTTGCAACATTACCACTTGACCTCCCAAAACATTTTACCCTCTTCATGACCATGACATTTTTTTGCTATTCAGCACTGTGCAACTTTAAATTAGCAATTGCTTGGTCATGCAACACTGTACCCAAATTAAATTTTTATCTTTTTTTATACAAAGAGAGCTTTCTTTTGGGGATATTTAATCACCACTGGGTTTTCTTATTTTATCCTGTATAAATTAAAAAATACTGAAAATTTACAAAAAAAAACTAAAACGTTTTTTGTATTAAAATTTTGCAAATACATAATCTTTCTTCATAAATTTAGGCCAAAAAGTATTTTTACATTTCTTTGCTAAAAAAATAACCCAAATCAGTGTGCTATTAAACAAGTCCAGTATAAAAAAAAAAAAAATCAAATTTCGTTGTAAATTTAGGCCAAAATGTATTCTGCTACATGTATTTGGGGGGAAAAAAAAATCCCAATACATGTAAATTAATTGGTTTACGTGAAAGTTATACAGTTTACAAAATGGCGGTATATATACACTGGGCTTTTTTTTTTTTTTAATTTTTACTAGTGACGGCAGCGATCAACTACTTATAGTGGGACAGCAAGACTGTGGCGGGCATTCTGACACTGGGGGGAACTGACTTGGTGTCACGGACATCCCCAGTGACACCAATACAGTGATCAGTGCTAATAAAAAGCACCGACACTGTACTAATGGCACTGAGCAGGAAGGGGTTAACATGTGGGGTGATCAGAGGGTTAACTGTGTGCTGTTTTACTTGATGTTCTGTGTTTGTGCCTCACTGTAAGGACACTGCTTTGCATGGCTGTGCACAGAAATGGCTTGCCCTCCAGGAATGAAAGTGTTTGGATCTAGCAACTGGCCACTTCAGTCCCGAACACTGCATCCTGGGAAGATGGCTACATACAGTGCATTCATAAAGTATTCAGACCCCCTTCATTATTTTTCAATTCTGTTATGTTGCAGCCTGATACTACAGTTTTAAATTCATTTTTTCACTTTTTTCTACACTCATTACCCCATAATGACGAAGTGGAAACAATTTTAGAAAGGTTTGCAAATGTATGAAAAAATAAAAACCGAAATAGCACATTGGCATAAGTATTCCAACCCTTTGCAACAACATTTGAAATGTAGCCAAGATACCTCCCATTTCTCTTGATTGTTGCTGAGATGTTTGTACGCCTTGATTGGTGTCCACCTGTGGTAGCCTAAACTGATTGGATATGATTTGGAAAGGCACACATCTCTCCATAAAAGGCCTCACAACTGACAATGTATACTATACCAGAGCAAAAGCCATGAGGTCAAAAAGAACTGCATGCAGAGCTCAAAAGGCAGAATTATTGCAAGGCACAGATCTGGAGATGGCTTCAAAAAAATTTCTGCTGCACTGAAGGTTCCCAAGAGCACAGTGACCTCCATAATTCACAAACTGAAGACATTTGGCACAACCGAGACTCTTCCAAGAACTGGTCACGTGGTCAAACTGACCAATCGGGGGAGAAGGGCCTTAGTAAAGAGGTGACCAAGAACCCGATGGTCACTCTGACTGAGCTCCAGAGATCCTGTGCGGAGATGGGACAAAGTTGCAGGACAACCATCACTGCAGCCCTCTATCTGGGTTTTATGGCAGAATGGCTAGACAGAAGCCTTTCCTCAGTGAAAAACACATGGAAGCCCCCTTGGAGTTTGCAAAAAAGCACCTGAAGGACTCAGACTAAGGAACAAGATTCTCTGGTCTGATGAAACCAAGTTTGAATTCTTTGCCTCAATTCTAAATGTTACATCTGTAGGAAGCTCATCACCTGCCCAATACATGCCAACAGTGAAGAATAATGGTGGCAGCATCATGCTGTGGGGGGTGTTTTTCAGCAGCAGGGACCAGGAGACTGGTGAAGGTTGAGGGAAAGCTGAATAGAGCAAAGTACATAGATATCTGTTCTACAGTGCTCAGGACCTCAGACTGGGCCAAAGGTCCTCCTTTCAGCAAGACAATGATCCTAAGCACAGAGCCAAGACAACAGAGGCGTGGCTTAGTGACAACTCTGTGAAAGTCCTAGAGTGGCCCAGCCAGAGCCCGGACTTGAACCCTATTGAACAATCTCTGGAGAGACCTGAAAATGGCTGTCCACCGACAGACCCCATACAACCTGACTGAACTTGAGAGGATTTGCAAAGAAGAATGGCAGAAAATCCTCCAATCCAGGTGTGGCAAAACTTGTTGCATCATACACAAGAAGACTGCTACAAAGTTCTGCGTAAAGGGTCTGAATACTTAAAGTGATTCTAAAGGCTGTACATTTTTTTTAAATAACAAACATGTTGTACCTACCTGCTCTGTGCAATGTTTTTGCACAGAGCAACCCCAATCCTCTTCTTTTTGGGTCCCCCACTGGCAGTCCTGGCACCTCCCCCCTGCCAAGTGTCCCCACTAGCAGGTCTCTTGCTATGGGGGCATTTGAACAGGCTTGCTCTCGAACCGTGCTTCTTTTAATGGATAGTGTCCATTCACATACAGAGAGCGGCTATCCCCACCCTTCACTTTCTCCTCATTGGCTCACTGACTGTCAATGACAGCAGCAGAAGTCAATGGCTCCCACTGTTGTGAGAGCCAATGAGGAGAGACCCAGGAGAGCCGTTGCTCTCATGTGCATCGCTGGAACAAGATGGGGCTCAACTAAGTATGAGGTGGTGCTGAAGGAGGGGGGAGGAGGGGAGCTGAACCAAGCAGGTTTTTTTACCATAATGCATAAAATGCATTAAGGTAAAAAAAAGCCTGCCTTTAGAACCACTTTAAGTACATGTGATGTTTCAGGTTTTTCTTTTTAATAAATTCATAGACAATTTTTAAAATTCTGTTTTTACTTTGTCATTATAGGGGACTGAGTGTAGATTAATGAAAAACATTTTTTTTAAACAACTGTAGTACCAGGCTGAAAATTATAGAGCTTAGATGTAAACCTGTTAAAAGGGTCACAAAGCAAAGTAACTCTGCAGCTGCATAGCATTTCACAGTACACAGTGCTCCTGCCTACCGCTCCCACTGCTACAGCCATACAAATACCAGCTTTTCTGAAGTTAGTATTGCTATAAAGCTAGATGCCATGGCTCTGTTCATTGGATTACCAGATAAAACGCAAAATATGGAAAAACTGGAGAAAGAGGAAATCTTACACGAGAATTAATGCGCTCTACTTTCTCATCTATTTTCTTCTTGTATGCCATTTCTTCCAGTTCTTTATTTAAGAAGTAAAGGCGAACTTTCTGAGCATGTCTCTTTCCCTGAAAATATAGTAAGAAAATCATTAAACAAGAATTCCATTAAGAACTATTTTCATCTAAAAGTGACTGCATAGCATAACTTCATGGTAATTCCTGAAAACACTGGGCAAGTGCTCATGATTCTGCTTCCGGAAGAGGAAAGCTCTGAGAGGCAGGCACGTGTCTTCTGAGGCCTGGCATAGGATTGGGTTTGTGGATAGAATCGCTCCCTGATCTGACAGAAAAGATCTATATTGAACAATGCTGTCTTACTCATGTAGCAATGTTGAGAATATGTGTAAGTAGATGCAAACTGCCTGAGACCCATCTGCATCATGATTATTATTATACAGTATTTATATAGCGCCAAAAAGTTTGCTCAGCGCTGTACATTATAGTGGGGGGCAGTACATGAGAGTACAGTAACAAAACAATATACGAGGGGTTCGAGGGCCCTGCTCTTTCGAGCTTACAATCTAGGAGATTCATGATCATGATGTGCTCAACTCATAATGTTGTCTAGTCAAGCCATTTTGCAGGACAATGTACTTCAGGAACAGGTCAAATTCATATTCAAGAACAGTTTTCATATTTTAGGTCTTAGACACATCTGGCGATCCAGCCAGTAAGTCTGTTTTTCAAAAGAACAAGCTCTCTTGATGCAGTTACAGGGATAAGTCAAACCATTTAACACTGACAGGTGTGCTCACTATGATCAGCTTGTACAGAGGGGAAAATAATTATTTGAGCCCCTTCAGATTTTGTAAGTTTGCCCACTTACAAAGAAATGAAGGGTCTATATTTATTATCATACTGTAAGGTTGCCTACCCCTATTGTAGACTAAACATACATCCCCTAAAGGCAGCATTGCTGGTGAGCAAGGACGTATTGCCATCCGCAGCTTATTCATTTCACTGTGTTTGTATATTTCATATATTGATTGTATGTACTTATATGTTTTTCCCCAATAGTTTCACCTACCTTGTTTTGTTAACCACTTCCAGACCGGACACTTTTACCCCCTTCCTGACCAGGGCAGCTTTCAGCGCTTACATTTTGAATGACAATTGCGCGGTGATGAAACACTGTACCCATATGAATTTTTTACCTTTTTTTTGAGACAGATAAAGCTTTATTTTGGTGGTATTTATTCACCGCTGGGATTTTTATTTTTTTTGCTATGTAAATTAAAAAGTCCAAAAATTTTTTTTTTAAGTTTTTTTTTTTATAAAATTTTGCAAATAAATAATATTTCATCATAAATCTTTGCCAACATTTATTCCGTTATATTTTTAGCATAAAAAAAAAAATACAAATTAGTTTATAACCAAAAATTATAATTTTTAAACATTTGTTTTTACATTTTTATATTATTTTTTATTTTTTTTACTACTGTCACCCTAGTAGTACAGTGTCACCATGGTGACACTGTACTACTTGTGGGGGGTGATTAAGATTTTTTTTTTTTTTTTTTACACTGATTGCTTTTACACCCATATAGGATGTAAAAGCAATAATTTCTCTTTCTCTCTGTGTGCATTCTTGCACTCATTGAGAAGTACTGAGTGAGCTGTGATTGGTCACAGCTTGTCACATGGTACAAGGCTGTTGTGAATAGCCTTGTACCATGTGACCTCTGATCATTCACAGATTTCACACGTAGTAAGCAATGATGTCACAAGTGACATCTTGCTTACTACTTTGCATGTGATCACTGATTGGCCAATCAGTGATCACATGATCGGAACCTCGTACAGAGGTCCCATCTGATGATCGGTGTTTCACTGTGTCCGGAGGACACAGCGGGCACTGGATCGCGTTGCTGCGCACTCCCTCGGAGCACGCACAAGCAGGGTGAGGGGAGTCCGTTTATAAACGGCCACCCGACTCTGCACTGCCACCGTCCGGCCGTTTATATGCAATGGCCAGTCAAGAAGTGGTTACTAAAAATTAAAGATTACATTCAGTCTGGCTTAATGCAGAAAAGGAGGGTTTAGCTGCATGTCGAGTTACACACAGGGAAACGTGGTGAAGACAGAACTAGTAACATACCTCATAATGTGCATTTCTGTGGGATTCAAATTGTAGAACTGCTCCACACACTCTACAGAAGGTGTCTGTGAAGAGTTCCTTTTTGGTTTTCTCATCCAAAACAATTTCTGTGAAGCAAGAAGGGAAATCAATTAGAAGAATAAAAACCAAAAACAAAGCGTAGTACTAAAGAGGCAAAGTGACAAGACTCTGTAAAAGATGGTACTGGTAGCACACGTGCATCGGCGAATGCAGAGCTATCACTCCCAGAGCAGGATAAACAGAGATTTGCACAATAGTGATAGTGCCCCCCCTTGACATGCGTCACTCAATTCCACTATAATTAACCTCCCTAGTGGTCTGATTATGTCCATATTTCTGTGCTCAAAGCGGTACATTTTTTTGCATGGACATATGTTTTTTGTTGTAGGCCTGTAATTTTTAGAAATAACTCACTGAAATCTGTCCGAACAAGAGTCTAGTAAACATCCCGGGTATGTTAAAAAATGAAACACCAAATCATAAATTATAATTTAATAATCATAAAAAAATAATATAATAAATTTAATTCAATAATAATAATCAAACCAAAAACACTGAAATTTGAAATAGAGCGCCAAGTTCGCACATCACTGAGCAAAGTCGCAAAATCGTTTTCAGTGTCTGATGATGAATTTCCCCCACGTATCATTATCACTCAATTCTGCAAGTGGTTCTGATTTACTATCGCTGTTCTCTAGCCGGTCTAAAACCGCTTTTGACCTAAAGGGATGCTTTTTGGACGCCATGGACGTTTCTCAGTTTCCAGGCAGAAAGAACAGTAAAAATGCAGGCAGTGCACAGGACAAAGCACTCGGGACAAAATGTATGTGAAATGGTTTGATATAGTAATGTTATACTATGTGATTTTAGTGAATGTCACTTTTTGTCATTTTCAAATTTCCCGCTGTTCCGTCCCCCGTACGCCCCGATGTCACAGGGGACGGGACCCAGAAGACAGATGCCAGCATCCGCCAGAGGACATTGCCGGGGACACTGCAGGAGGGACATCGCGGGAGCACAGGACAAGGTAAGAGAAGAACAGATCCCGGAGCAACACCGCATGGTATTCCCGAGTGTAGCTCGGGGTTACCGCTTGTGGTACTGAAACTTTACCCCGAGTTACACTTGGGAATACCACCAGGGAGGTTAATCAACTGTATCCTAAAGTGATTGTAAGGCTACATTTTTTTTTTAATTAAAAAGAACAAACATACCTGCTCTGTGCAATGATATTACACAGAGCAGCCCTGAACCTCCTCTTCTGGGGTCTCCTGCATACAATCTTGGCTCCTCCTCTTCTCCAAGTGTCCCCAGAACAAGTTGCTTGCTGTGGGGGCACTCGTGCGGATGCTGTCCAGAGATAGGCTGTGTATCTCCATAGACGCACACACACAGCACCGCTTGGCCCTACTCCTTCCTCACAGGGTTTGACAGTCAGTAAAGCCCCTAAAATGCAGGAAGAGAGCAGAGTGGGGCTGCCGATGAGGACTATGCTGGATCGAGAATGGTGTCAGGTAAGTGTTTATGGGCAAAAGGGTGGGGGAGCAATGTTATGGGAAATTTTTTTTTTTTTACCTTCATGCAGAAAATGCATTAAGGTAACAACATTTTATTGGGCATCATTCCAGGAGGGGGCGCTACTTGAAGAAATTAATTTATTGTGGACACGGTCTCTCTTTATTTGGCCCGTAAACTCTTGTTACAGAAGTGGCTCTCACACACCCCTACATTCACCCAACGGCACGATGCCATTGCTTTCACACTACGCAGAGGAGCTTACTTATAAACAGAGGGGATGTCCACAAAAATATAAAAAACATTTGGTCCTGGTGGTTGGAATCCAAAAATCCCTCCCACCTTCCTCATTCTCAGGGCGAGGAGGTGGATGGCTGAAAGTAGGCAGAGCCAATGTGTTGTGTGCTTAAGTCATGGAGTTGGTGGACTAAAATCTGGTGAGCGGATAAAGTTAGCCAGCAAATTCTAGTAATTCTGATATAGCCTTACTGGTTGCTGTTCAGAGGTAACTTTTCTTTTTCTCTGATGACTGTAGACTGTCCTTTATGTATTGCACAATATGGAAGAAACAGTTCTTTGTAATTGTCCAGCATATTTCTCTATATGCTGAATTATGTGCTCAGTATTTGGTATTTGAAGTGTAGTACTTTTTTTCTAAATGTAGAATGCAATTTTTGTAATGTGTATTTTTTTTTGAGTCTTTGAAAAAAATCTGATTAATAAAAATTACCAGATTAAAAAAAAAAAAAAAAAAAAACACTAACTGCAATTCCATAATTTGTAAAAATATGTCATTTTCCAAATTTCCAAATAGAAATATGGGACAGTGCTGCTGATATTTGAGATTTCAAGTGATATTAAAAGGCTGAGGGGGGCACCTGTGTAGGCACGCTCCCGAGCCAGGTTGTCTATATCCATAAATGCAAACAGCTCAGCCACGTCACCCATTCCCTCCTATGGGCTCCTGCCTGTGTCACCAGGAAGTGAAGGGAGAAGACCTGCAGCCAGGACAGCGCTGAATCACTGACAGGACTCAGGTGTTTAGGGATGAGGGGGTCCAAGAAGTAGAATGTATTAAGGCAGGGGTCTCCAAACTATGGCCCTCCAGGTGTTGAAGAATTGCAAGTCGCATGAGGCCTTGAAAGACTGACAGCCACAGGCAAGACTCCCAGAGGCATGATGGGACTTGTAGTTCTTCAACAGCTGGAGGGCCCCAGTTTGGAGACCCCTGCAATAAGGTAAAACAAATAAAAAATCCCTTATTTACTGACTGCCTATGTCATTTCATGAATCCCCAAAATGCCAGGAAAGTACAAATACCCCCCAAAAGACCCTTTTTTGGAAAGTAGACAGTCTAAGGTATTTAGTAAGAGGTACGTTGGGTTTTTTGAAGTTGTAATTTTTTTTGTCACTTTTTTTGGAAAATGAGGAAAGAATTGTTTTTTTTTTTCACAAAGTTTTCATTTCAAACAAGTTAAGGCTCACACACAGCATAGGCATACCTATAATTGCACCCCAAAACACACACACACATACATGCACACACACTTTTTTTTTTACATACTGTCGCCTGAGTAGTACAGTTTCATAATGAGACTACTACTCTGGGGAGGTGATTTTTTTTTTTTTAACCAATAGCTTATTACAGTGAAAAATAAATGGTTTCATGGCTTTCCTTCATGAATTGTGGTTTACCATTGTGATTGGTCACAAAGATCACGTTACCTGGACCAATCGTGGCAGGCAGGTGCCAAGCACTATGATCCACTGTGTCCAGTGGCGCCCCCAGGGGGCAGGTGCAAGGCATGTGAGCAGCAAACATACCATATGTCCTCCCAGAATAACAGAGCACCCAGCCGTTGATCAGCATTGGCTAGCCAGGAAGTGGTTAAACGACACAAAGTAAATTCATTTAAAAAAGATCTAAGCTTCTGTGTTTATGCGGTTCTCATGCCTCTAACAGCCAAAAGGAACAAGATTACATGTTAATGTGAGGATGAGGAAAAGCACTGGGGAAAGGTAATACTTGGGGATAAAAAGGTGTGTCCCACAGTAATGTTCAAGTTTGATTTTGTCAATGGGAGTTTGCTACAAATTCCTTGACCTGAGCTACTGATGTCAAAAAGTAATGTATAGTCCGATAGACAAAAGAATCTGTTGTGCCAAAGAATCATTCTCTGTTTTGGTCTATGGAGAAGAAAAGGTGCAGCACTCAAGGCAAGGTGATGGAGTCTTTTCAGGTGTTAAATGGTCTGGATTCTTAGACTGTAGAAATGCAGTGCGGTTTCTTCTCTGGTTCAAATGCAGCTCCCTCGGTCTCCTGCATTGACTGCAACCTTGCCCACAAACATTGAAGAATAAAAGGGATGCTGCTGCACTGCAGAGAAGAATGTGACAAGAGACGGAATGCCTGCCCAGGAGCAGTGTGAAAAGCCTAATGAATATGGCTGAATGAATTAAATATAGATATTAGATATAAATGAATATAGAATTTGTCCAGTAATGATGTACAGTTCATATGCTCTGCTTAAAATTAAAGAATAACTCCACTGTTGCTGAGAAAATGAGGATGATCTTAGTACATTGCATAGATTTTAACCGTTTCCTCACCAATCTATAGCGGAAATAGAGGTACATGGGGCACGGGAGTGCAAAATCAGGTATATATATATATATATATATATATATATATATATATATATATATATATGATATTGCATTTCTGGGTAGGAGGCGCACTCCCTACCCGCGCCGCCATTCACCGAGTCCCGGCCGGTGGTTACAGAGGATCTCTGATGGGGAGGAGAACGATTATGTCTACTAACAGTTTTCCTCCCTGTAAACTCAGGCACACTGCTTTGGATGGCTGTGCACAGCACAGCCATCCAAAGCAGTGTGCTTACAGTGAAGCACACAGACACCGCCCCACAGTAAAACACTTCCAGCACAAAGTTAACCCTTTGATCGTCCCTCATGGTTATCCCTTCCTGCCCAGTGCCCTGCCCTTAGTACAGTGTCGGTGCTTTTTTTTTTTTTTTCCTTTAGCACTGGGGATGTCAGTGACAGCAAGTCAGTTCCCCCCCCATTGTCAGAATGTCTACCGCAGTCCTGCTATAAGTCGCTGGTCACTGCCATTACTAGTAAAAATAATAAAACAAAATCCCAGTATATATAGCACTATATGTAGACGCTATAACTTTCAAATAAACCAATTAATTTACACATATTGGGATTTTTTTTTTAGCAAAGACATGGGGCAGAATACATTTTGGCCTAAATGACTAAATTTGATTTTTAAAAAAAAAATGTTTACTGGATATGTTTAATAGCAAAAAGTCAAAAATATTGTTTTTCTCACAATTTTGGCCCTTTTTTTATAGCGCAAAAAAAAAAATGCACAGGTGATCAAATGCCACCGAAAGAAAGCTCAATTCATGGGAAATAAAGGACGTAAATTTCATTTGGATGCAACCTTGCATGACCGTGCAATTGTCAGTTAATATAACGCAACACCGTAACTCAAAAAATGGCCTGGTCAGGAAGGGGGGTAAATCCTCAGGAGGGCAAGTGGTTAAACTTTG